GTTTCCCCCCTCCTCCGCCCCTGTCTCCCTCCTCAATCCCCTCCTCCTTCCTCAATCCCCGCCTCCCCACTCAATCCCCGCCTCCTCCTCAATCCCCGCCCCCCTCTCAATCCCCGCCTCCTTCCTCAATCCCCGCCTCCCCACTCAATCCCCGCCTCCTCCTCAATCCCCGCCTCCTTTCTCCCTCCCAGCCTCCTTCCTCTCCCCTTCAGCTTTCCCCTCCATAGGTCCCTGAGGGAAGCACCAGGGATAAACTACTCCTCCGTAAGTAAGCTTGCTGAAGGAGGTGGGGAACGGCGCTGACACGTGACCGCATGGGAAGCTGCCCTTCAGGGACTAGGAAGGAAGTCATACACAAGCCTAGCCGTACAGAGGCCCCCATTTAGCAATCCCATGTGAAAGGTGGCATATTTAGAAAACACTGCTTAACCAGTATCCCTCACACAGGGGTGGGTGGGGACCCTGGGATTGGAATTCAGATCCCCACAGATCCCAAAATACCTTTAAGAAACTTTCTACACTTGTGCCTGTATATTTGTATGCAGTGTGCAGACATGTGGTGTGCACTTGCATGTGCTGTCTACATGCGTAAGTGTGGAGCATGTGTATGTATATGTGTGGTCTATGGAGTGTGTGCATGTGTGTGTGTGTGTGTGTGTGTGTGTCTCTGTGTGGTGTCGGGGTGTGTGTGTGTGTGTGTGTGTGTGTGTGTGTGTGTGTGGTGGATCTGTGTGTGTGCAGCTGTGTGTGTGGTTTAAGCAGTGTGCGTGCGATGGACTTGTGTGTGTGAGTGGGGTTCGTATCAGTATACCTGTGTGAACAAATGCGTGCTAGGCATGTTCGTGAGCCTGTCCGTGTGCCGAGTGTTTCTGCATATATGTATGCATGTGTCGGTATGTGACGCCGGTGGGGTGCATGCTCGCTCCTCCACAATGTGTGCTTGCTTCGTTCGCAATCCTCTGTTCCTGTGAAGGGATTATTTTTACTTTGGCTCAGTTCACGAGCTGGAGAATCTGCCGGAATGCAGACTGTGGTCTTGTGGGATGGGCTGTCACTGCAGCTGGAAGCCAGGCATGTGTCACTCAGGCAGCTGAGCCAGAGACCGAGCTCCGGAAACTGGCTGCATCCAACCCAGGGAGGGGATCAGGAGCCAGGCTGCCTGAAGAAGAAACACCGCTTCTCCAGCCTTCGTTGTCGCTAGACCCACACCAGTGTCAAGTACCCTACGCACTGTGTGAGAGAGAAACGTCTCTGTGCCACTCTGTTTCACAGACGGGAAAGCACGGAGAGGCTAAGTGGTTGCCTCAGGACGTAAACTAGTGACCTAGAGGATGGTACCTTCTGTGGGATGTGAGACGACAGCCTTCCTCATGGGTGGCTTCCATCGCTAGACAAACAGTACAGCCCCACAGAGGGGCCGAGTTTGCGTGTTCTGATGGGAACCGGGTGAGCCCTGCCCAGGAGCCAGTGTGGCTCAGTGGAGCCCCGAAGGCTGCTTTACCTGGGCCTCGTCGCTTCTTCTGTAGAACGGCCTGAGGGCCGGGAGCACCCGGAGGAGTGGGCAAGGCCTTCTGCGTCTGGAAGCTTGGGGACTTGGGGGGCAGCGGAGGAGGAGCCTCATTGCCGCTGCTGTTTTCTCCTGGCAGGGGGGGCGGGGGGAAAGGGGACCT